CATAGTTTAGGGGAATGTCAGGAACCTTTCACACTGTATTCTGAGAATTCTACATTTCTCATGAAATTGACTTCAAAAAATAGTTTCTAAAAATCACATGGCAGCAGTGATTTGATAGAAACACATACGCTTTAGATTTGTCTCTCTGTTCATCTATCTGTAGATAAAGGCTCAAACATCTTCAGATCCTTAGCAGTTATTTTTTAGTTACCCATTTCCGTAGTTGTACATTTCTCTACACTTGTTAATATGGAGTTACTCTGAAATCTGAGATTGAAGTACACTGTGACTCTGGGCGATAGCGAGGACTCTGGTAATATTTCTAGCCCCTAGCATGCTAAATAATGAAGAGAGAAGCTGTCTGATCCTGCGGTTGGGGCAGTGGCTCAGAACTGTGTTCTGTGGTATACGTGCAGGTGCTGGTATATAAGGGGCCGTCCTATATTTAGATGAGCTACATAAACATTACAGGATCCAGTTCCTCCCAGATAAATGGTCTCTACTTCTTTCATGTACCCAGTTAAATTATCAAAGGCAAGAGTTTTTGTCTTTAAAGGGTGTATAATCCCAAGCTCCAAGCAACTTTCATTAGGGATTATTTCACAACTATAAAATTGTTAGAAACAGAGAACTTTCCAGTCCTAAAATGGCTATGTAGTAACCAGACCATCAATTTCAGTCTTATCCCACTTTGAATGTTGACTTATAAAAGGAGAAAGCTAAGTTGGCTAACTTTAGAATGTAATCCATCTGGAGTGGAGAAACCAAATCTTTGTTCAAAATTTGATGCAGTTGAGAAAAAACTAAAGGTCTAAGAAATTACAGAGACTTTGTAGAAGTTATTTTGTATTCTCAGGACCTATTCTCAGGACCTCGCGAATGGTACCTTGTGGGTGCTCAGTAAAAGATACCAATGTTTGATGTATATCCTAAGGGGGCCTCTAAGAAAAGGCATTTAGAAAGTTGAAGCCTCCATTGTTCGGTTAATAATATACATGGGTGGTTTGGGCTGCAGCTCTTCCTCAGTAAAAGTCATGACATTTTATTTATTATTTTATGTTTTATTATTTTTTTAATTTTTTAACGTTTATTTATTATTGAGAGGCAGAGAGAGCGAGCGAGCAGGGGAGGGGCAGAGAGAGAAGGATACACAGAATCTGAAGCAGGCTCCAGGCTCCAAGCTGTCAGCACAGAGCCTGACACGGGGCTCGAACTCACAAACCATGAGATCACGACCTGAGTCGAAGTCGGACACTTAACCGACTGAGCCACCCAGGCGCCCCAAAAGTCATGACATTTTAGATAGCCATGTGTATATTCTTGTTTTCCTCACTCAGTGCCCCCATCAAAGTGTTTTGTTTTGTTTTTTTAAGTTTTTATTTTAATTCTAGTTAACATCCAGAGTTACATTCGCTTCAGGTATAGAATATAGGAATTCAACAAGTTCCATATAACACCCAGTGCTCATCGTGACAAGTGCACTCCTTAATCCCCATCATCTATTTAACCTACCCTCCACCCGTCTCCCCTCTGGTAACCATCAGTTTGTCCTCTGTAGTTGAGAATCTGTTTCTTGCTTCGTCTCTCTCTTACTTTTTCCCTTTGCTTGTTTATTTTGTTTCTTAAATTCCACATGAGTAAAATCATATGATATTTGTCTTTCTTTGACTTACTTTGCTTGGCATAATACATTCTACCTCCATCTATGTCATTGCAAGTGGCAAGATTTCATTCTTTTTTAGTGGCCGAATAGTATTCATTGTGTGTGTGTGTGTGTGTGTGTGTGTGTGTGTGTGTGTACCACATCTTCTTTACCCATTCATCTATTGTTGGACACTTGGGCTGCTTCCATATTGTAAATTGTAAATAATGCCGCTATAAACCCCTATCACAGTTTTAAAATCCTCCTAGAATTTACTTGTCATTCTGCTTCTGACTAGAAGTCCTGTAGGGTGGGACACTGTCATGTTCACAGTTGGGTTTTTGCTCTATAGATGGGATTTGCTAAATACCATGCCCACTTGCATAGACATGAGACTGAGGTGCAGAAAGGGTGGGTGGGTGACTGTTACACTGAGACCAAGACCTAATGCTAGGATTTGATTCTGGGTCTTCTCTTTCCCCTCTCTGAATCTTTGAGGTGAACCCCACGTGCAATCCCAAGTGATTGCTTCAGGGATACCCCTAATGGTAGAGTTTCAATACCAAGTGTATTACACTTGATGTTGTTGTCCACACCTTTTTAAACCCCCCTAATACACATAATAATACTGTTCCTAGAGCATTTAACTACTTTTCTTCCTTCTTCCTTTTCCTAATTCTAGCCTCTTAGCATAGAGAGAGCTCCTCATCAAATGAACTGTGGTATTGGCCTTTGGGTCTAACTGGTAGGGAGGACCAGGTTCCTCCTAAGGTAGAGCATGTGGGTCTTCGTTTCCCAATTAGTATTATCAGTTGCCAGAACCCCCACAGCTGCCAGCTGCCAACTTTGTGAGTTTGAGCCCCATATCAGGCTCTGTGCTGACAGCTCAGAGCCTGGAGCCTGCTTTGGATTCTGTGTGTGTGTCTCTCTCAGCCCCTCACCTGCTCACACACTCTCTCTCAAAAGTAAATAAACATTAAAAAAAAAATATATATATATATATGTAACATATATATATGTAACATATATATATGTTACATATATATATATGTGTGTATGTAACATATATATATATATATATGTAGTTATGAAGCATGGCATAGAAGGGGCATCTGAGTGAATCAGTCAGTTAAGTGTCTGACTCTTGGTTTCAGCTCAGGTCATGATCTCACAGTCCACGCATTCGAGCCCCACATTGGACTCTGCACTGACAGCAGAGCCTGCTTTGGATTCTCCCTCTTTCTCTCTTTCTGCCCCTCCCTTGCTTGAGCTCTCCCTCTCTCTCTCTCTCTCTCTCTCTCTCTCTCTCACTCTCAAAATAAATAAATAAATATTTTTTAAAGAGCATGGCATGGGGCGCCTGGGTGGCCCAGTCGGTTGGGCGGCCGACTTCGGCTCAGGTCATGATCTTGCATCCGTGAGTTCGAGCCCCGCGTTGGGGTCTGTGCTGACAGCTTGGAGCCTGGAGCCTGTTTCGGATTCTGTGTCTCCCTCTCTCTGACCCTCCCCCATTCATGCTCTGTCTCTCTCTGTCTCAAAAACAAATAAACGTTAAAAAATTAAAAAATAAATAAAAAATAAAGAGCATGGCCTGGAAGATTTCAGGGCTTAGGCAGTAGAGTACGAACTTTATGGCTAAAACATAGCCATAGGTCAAAGAAATTTCTTAACAGTAAATGTGCTTTTTGAAAATAAATAAAACCACTAAATTATTTCTCTTCCTTTTCACCCTTCAAAGAGATAAACATATTCCATGCTTCAGGAAATGTCTACCTTTCCAGTAATTTGGAAACATACTGTCAGTGAACTGAAAGGTCTTTGACAATGTGCACATTGAGAAACTCTTTTCTTTCTTTCTTTTTTTTTTTTTTTTTTAAGAATTTCCACGGTAGCTTTTGACGTCAGAGACAACTAAGTAGGTGTACCATTGCCGTAAAATTAACAGTTCTTGTTTTGGGTGACCAGCCACACGGGGAAAAAATTAGATGCTCTAAAAGGCTTTGGTAACTTCATACCATGCCAAAATGTTTACGGGGTCTGCTAGATGAAAGCAGTAATCTAAGACAAATTATACACCTGTCTGTCATCCAGAAATCTGAGCTTTCATTCCTACACAGCTAGGCTGGACCCTCCACATTACACCTGGCTAAGGATCCAGGACCACATGTTACTCAGTGTTTCTTTTTAGTCAAATAAGTGAATTTTACTGCATAATCATGGCATTCCCATCTTCTTAAATTCTGTGTATGTTGGTTGAAATGTTCATTTGCCAACTTTATCTCGGGTGAAGTTATTCAAAAATTTCATGATGGCAGTATAAATGGTGATGGAGATGGGCCAGCAGGCATCATGGGGCACTGGGTTAGCCTGAGTTCAAATCCTAGCTCTGCCACCTGCCTTTGTCACATTATCTTAATTCACAAACTTTGGGCCCTCACCTGATAAGTAGGGTTCAGTGACAATTAATACCTCATAGGGAGATCGTGAGGATTAAATGAAATGATGCAGAAATGCATTAAATGAACTGTTTAGCACAGTCCTTAGTATATAGTAAGTATTCAATGAATGCTAACTATAATTACGGTAATTAATCTTTTATTACTGCTACTGCTTTAAAAACATATTTTCTTACGTTTTCTAAAGCCCCAGGTTAGTGCAAATGATAAGGATTGTTCAGAGATTTCTATCCATTTATACTCAAGAGAACTCATTTTGAAGATTTATTTTTTTCATAATGCTTCTTTCTCAAACCCCTCTGGCTTCCCACCATCCAGACCATAAATGTTTGTCAGAGCCAGGCTGATTATTAATCAAATGAAGCCTAAAGAAAATACTTGGTATTTATTTTAGTTGTGGTTTAAAGAGCTTTCCCCACCATACTGGCTTATAAAAATGCCTAGAAGTTAAAAATGAAGTAAATTTGAATAAAGTCTTTAGCTTTTGGAGCTATATGTACAGCAATCTGATAGTCTGTGAAAAGAGAAGAAGTTTGTCAGATGATCAAGTCTTTTCAGAAAGGAATCTGGTTTACACTGATTTTTTTAAAAGTCGGGATATGTAATCTGTCTGTTTTTTCACTTGTTCTTATAAATTGGAAGGAACTTCAAAGCCAAACAACATTTTGAAGTGCTTTTGCCCTAATTTCTTGGAATAGTATACCTCAAGAAATGGTCTTTTGTGATGAGAGAAACCTAGCATTTCTTTCAAAGGAAGCCATCATTTTTCTAAATAAACTCTACTAGTTTGATGCTCTCTTCTTCGCTTGAAACACATTTTCTCCCGCCTGCCCAAACATGGTTTTTGCTGAAGAGTGATCTGGGTTTCTCTTTGTTCTCCCCATCTGATGTGCCTTTGATAGAGGATGGTTTCTCGCTCTTTGGGAGCAAATCCAGACGACCTGAAGGACCCAATTAAAATTAGTATTCCACGCTATGTGCTCTGCGGGCAAGGGAAGGACGAGCACTTCGAGTTTGAGGTCAAGGTAAGTGCCCCTTCTTTACTCTTCTGGAGGAATGGAGGCTTGAAGCTCCCAGGGCTTTCTCTGTCTATATACGTATATACATATGAAAGGAGATGAAGCTACATGTGAACATGTTGTTTTATAGCATATTGGTCATGCCCTCCTTTAAACTGATATGTGAAAGTCTAGACTGTGAAACATGAAGGGAAGTTATGCCATAGAAGGTGGTGGTGGCTGGGGATTCAGGCAGACACGGGAGGAAGTTCTTGTCACCAGCCCTACAGGCAGGGTGACCAACCCTTCCAGGTTATCCAGGACTGTTTTGCTTTCAGCACTGAAAGTTCTACGCCCTGGGAAACCAGTTCATGCCAGACAAACCAGTGCAGTCGGTCACCCTATCCCTGGTGACCTATCCCTGGGCTTAAGCTCAGTTTTCTTATCTATAAAAGTGGGAATAATAATGTTTATTACAAGGATATCAGTGCACATAAAGTTATAACAGTTGCTATAATTACTACTGCTGCTTTTAGTGTTGTTTCTATTATTATTATTTTAGGAAGCTTTCCTAATCCATTTTAGTCATGATTTGATTTATACAACTTTTCAGGAAGAAATGTCCCTGCTTCCTTACATCATACTTTCCAAAATAATGACTTCATCTTATTCCTAATTTAGTTCCATTGACTCATAACAATTCATTAAATATTTCTGGATGCTCTCCTCTCTTCAAAGAATTAATGATTAATAATAACACTTCTTCGTTTTCAAGGCTAGGCAAGGGTATTGATGTAATAACATCCACTAGGGTCACCAGTATATGGCTGTGTGAGGGTGTTCTTGGAGGTGAACATCAGGCTGGGAATCTGGACGCTGAGGTCTTTAGGCTCTGATTCTGTTGCTGTTTGTTGAGTGATGCTAAGTCTTTTACCTTCTCTGAACGTCAGTTTTCTCACTGGTGAAATGCAGAAATTGGATTACACCGGCGGTTTCCAAATTTCTTCTTAGCAAAGACATTTGTTGAGAAAATATTTATGAGGAAGGACAGTGTGGAAAGCAGATCAGCATGGAGCTGCTGTGGGGGGAGAGGGCGGAGGGAGCCTGAAGCCAGCAGTCCCCACCCCCACCCCCAACATGCCCCTTGGTGGGGAGTGGAGCCCCTGGGTCCTTAGGGATCTCTCCCTTTTAGGCATGCATATTCATTTTCAGTCTTCCAGGAGAAAGAGTGACGATGAGTTTTGTAATTAATCAAGTTCTCAGATTCTTATCTCTATATATTGTTTTCCTTTTTATTTTTTAAACCTAGGCACTAATTTATACATTTGAGGTCCCTGCTGAGAGTACATGATGTCTGGGGGGGGGGGTGGTATTTTGAACGTCACTGACCAGATTGTGTGGTTTCTTATTAAAATGTTATGCCACATCCAGGAGCCAGTACTTCTCACCGCCCCTGACTGTATGCCTAATGCCTGCTCAATTTCTGTTCTCAATCGTTTGAAATTGTATGTGTGTGTGTGTGTATTTAGAGTTCCCTTTGTACATACATGTAATGTTATATACATTTATCAAAATACTCTCTGAAGGTATGTGTATTATTTCTATATTTAAAAAAAATTTTTTTAATGTTTATTTTTGAGAGAGAGAGAGCATGTGTGAGCGGGGCAGGGGCAGAGACAGAGGGAGACACAAAATCCAAAGCAGGCTCCAGACTCTGAGCTGTCAGCACAGAGCCCGACACGGGGCTTGACCTCACAAACAGTGAGATCATGACCTGAGCCAAAGTCAGAGGGTTAACCGAGTGAGCCACCCAGGCACCCCAGTCCATATTTTTAATTAGAGGGTGAAGACTGGCTTTCACCAGCTCAGAATTTGAATTCTACTAAGCAGAGAGCTCACAGCACTGGAGAACATGCAATGATTTTCATTGGTGCATAGATATATTTTATTTTAATAGATAAATGTGTTAATAAAATATAACCATTAAATTGATTTCATGCCTAAAAGATAAGATCATGGATAAAGAAGATACTTAGTTGATTTAGTATGATCTCACTTATATGTGGAACCTAAAAATAAAAACCAAGCTCATAGATACAGACAGATTGGTGGTTGCTGGGGTGGGTGAAATGGGTGCAGGTGGTCAAAAGGGACAAACTTCCAGTAATAAAATAAATAACTCCCGAGGATGTCAAGTATAGCTTCGTGATTATAGTTAATAATGCTGTATTCCATATTTGAAAGTTGCTGGAAGGGTAAATCTTTAAAAGTTCTCATCATAAGGAAAAAAATGTTGTAACCATGTGTTGTGACAGATACTCACAAGACTTATTGAGGTGATCGTTTCACAATATATACAAATATCGAATCGTTGTATTATACACCTGAAACTAATACGATATATGTCAATTATACTTCAAGAATTAAAAAAAAGAAAAGAGCTAGAAAAAAAAAACTGAGTTGATTTAAATAAAACTGGCAGGCAAATAATAGTCCAGGCCTTATCAGATCTGGCCACAATTGTGAAGATCATTCTGTGAAGGCAAGTTAGAGAACCCACATACAGAAAATCGTATGGGACCTTTCAGAATCCTGGCTTTCAATTCAGAATACATAAAATCCAAATCCAAAGAGTTTAGCTTTCTTTGAACTTATCAAAGCCAAGTTCTGAAAGCATATCAATTGCTCTGCTTCCTTCTTGTACTTATCCCAGGTGCTGTAATCGGCATCAGGAATGGCTTGTTAACACTTGCCGGAGAATCCCTAGTTCTCTGTGTAGGAAGGGCTGGCATGCATTGGCAGGTAGGTGTGCTGAGGGTCTGACATTCTTCTGGGGTTACTAGTCACAGAAACATCAGGGCCCCAGTACTAGAACATGACCTGAATATACTGCCCCTCCCCTGAGCAAAACAAAAACGGCCACACCCCAGCAAAGGCATAGCTGTTTGGGATAGTGCTGGGTGCGCCAATGTCCTGTCCAGGCTCCACCAGTTAACCTTACAAGCCGTAGTCTCGCTGTGCCTCATCTGTAAAATGGGGATAAAGAGACCTGCCTGGTTGGATTAGTATGAACAGTGCATGAACTTAGGTCATGTAAAGTATTTAGAACAGTGCCTGCCACGTGCTAAGTGCTGGATAAGTGTTTGTTTTTAAAAAATAGGTAAATTTTTATTTAAAAAATTTTTAAAGTTTATTTATTTTGAGGGAGATAGGGAGAGAGAAGGAGGAGGGGCAGAGGGAGAGAGAGAGAGAGAGAGAGAGAGAGAGAGAGAGAGAGAGAGAAAATCCCAAGCAGGCTATGTGCTGTCGGTGCACAGCCTGACACAAGGCTCAATCGCACGCACCATGAGATCCTGAGCAGAAATCAAGAGTTGGATGCTTAACTGACTGAGCCACCCATGTGCCCCATAAAATAAGTAAATTTTTAAAAGGCACAAGGAATGACTGAGATTTTACCCTTGGAATCCTCTTAATGACTTTGAATGTATAGTTGTATATTTGAGAGTTTGAGGATTTTGTTTTGTTTCCATTTTGATTGTTAATTCCCCCTCAACATTCCTGAATTCTAAAATTAAGCATGGCAACCTTTTCCATCCATGATTTGACTATTTGATGCATTGACAGTTTTCTGGGACAGTCACACTTGTGATAACACTTTGTTTACTACTAAAGTCTTTTCTTGATGAACCGGTGGCTTTCAGGCAGCTAAGGTAAAAAGTATTATTTTTTTAAGTCTATTCTATTTAGTTTTAGAGACCTTTTTTGAAGGAAAATCTGATGTTAATGTATATAGATATTTTATACTATAATACTATATACTCCAGAGAAATCTTCACTCCTTTTTTAAACAAAAGCGATTTCAGTTTTCTGTTCTTCCCCTGTTATGGTCTTCAAAGTCTCCTGGGATCCTGAATATACGCAGCAAGGCTCTGTCACCAGCAGGGAAGGGTCTTGTCAATGATGTCCGACCCCGGTTGACTGTATAACTTGCTCCGTGGTCACGGCCGGTTCATTTAAGGGGCCAAGCTGGCCCATGAACACACGGCGCCCACTGGGTTCAAGTCTCCACAGGCTGAGTTTGCCCCAAGGAGTGGGGCGGGGAAGACAGCGTCTGGTGTTATAGCTGCCCCGAGCTCTGTCTTTCAGAGCTGTTCCCTCTGCCTCCTGCCCTTTTCTGCCTGCCTTTCCGGAGGTAGCATTTATTACTTAAGTTATTCCTTCTTCCTGGCCACTTTCATTTTAATCCCCAGTCGAGTGGCTCTGATTGGGCTGCTCCTTGCTGAATGAAGTAGTCATGAGCCAGGTCTCTGAGGTCAGGTATGAGGAGTGGAATTTGGGGGAGGAAGGAGGACAACAGTGGTTCTCAAATGCTCACCTTCTGGTCCCTGATGAGTTCAAGGAAGTTCCTATTGCTGGGATTTAAAATGAGAAAAGTAGACTTTTTCATTAAACTAAAATTTAATTCAAAAGGACTTTTTCAAATCTTCTGTATACAGGGATTAAAAATAACTTTCTTTTATGAAGTAACTATGAGAATAGATACATATACAGGTTTTTGTTTTCTGGTCCCATTTGATTTTTTTCAGTTGATTTTGTTGAGGCATAATTTACATACAATGAAACGCACGTATTTAAGTGTAGTTTGACAAGTTTTGACATGTGTATACCCATGCAACCAGCACATCAATCAGGACTTAGGACTTTTCAGTCATTCCACAAAGTTTCTTGTGCCCCTTTATGGTGAGTGCCCCTGCACAGCTGTCTGCGACTATAGATGAGTAGTGTCTGTTCCAGCATGCCGTGGGGATGTGGCTGGCAGCGGTTACTTTTCCATGTCTGGCTCCTTCCACATAGCGTGATGTTTTGGAGATTCATCCATATAGCTGAGTAGAACAGTAATTTGTTTTTTGTTTTTTGTTTTTTTATGACTAAATAGCCTCCCATTGTATAGATATATCATGATTTGTGGAATGGTATTTGTCTTAATGTCGTTACTTGACAATACAGAAAGCTGTGATCTCCATGAT